GGCATGCGTTATGGGGAGATGACATCCAATGCGGCGGAGTCATTTAATAATTGGATTAAAGAAGCACGCAATCTTCCTATCACTCAAATGGTGGACACAATTCGTACGCAGTTGATGCGAGAAATGTCTGCACGGCGTGACCAAGACCAAGCAAACAAATGGAATGAGCTTATTTGTCCTACATTCGAAACAATCCTTATGGATTTAGCTTTATGGCGTTTTAAAAACGTCGTGATATTAGTATAGGCTGTCCTCCTAAACACACGCTGACGTCACTGACGATATTTAGCGACGTTTTTTGAAAAACGCCGTCATATCTTTTTAAACAAATATGACCGTTAGCATGTAAGGTTTCAGAGGCGTTTGTAAAAACGCCGTCATATCTTTTTAAACAAATATGACCGTTAGCATGTAAGGTTTCAGAGGCGTTTGTAAAAACGCCGTCATATCTTTTTAAACAAATATGACCGTTAGCATGTAAGGTTTCAGAGGCGTTTGTAAAAACGCCGTCATATCTTTTTAAACAAATATGACCGTTAGCATGTAAGGTTTCAGAGGCGTTTGTAAAAACGCCGTCATATCTTTTTAAACAAATATGACCGTTAGCATGTAAGGTTTCAGAGGCGTTTGTAAAAACGCCGTCATATCTTTTTAAACAAATATGACCGTTAGCATGTAAGGTTTCAGAGGCGTTTGTAAAAACGCCGTCATATCTTTTTAAACAAATATGACCGTTAGCATGTAAGGTTTCAGAGGCGTTTGTAAAAACGCCGTCATATCTTTTTAAACAAATATGACCGTTAGCATGTAAGGTTTCAGAGGCGTTTGTAAAAACGCCGTCATATCTTTTTAAACAAATATGACCGTTAGCATGTAAGGTTTCAGAGGCGTTTGTAAAAACGCCGTCATATCTTTTTAAACAAATATGACCGTTAGCATGTAAGGTTTCAGAGGCGTTTGTAAAAACGCCGTCATATCTTTTTAAACAAATATGACCGTTAGCATGTAAGGTTTCAGAGGCGTTTGTAAAAACGCCGTCATATCTTTTTAAACAAATATGACCGTTAGCATGTAAGGTTTCAGAGGCGTTTGTAAAAACGCCGTCATATCTTTTTAAACAAATATGACCGTTAGCATGTAAGGTTTCAGAGGCGTTTGTAAAAACGCCGTCATATCTTTTTAAACAAATATGACCGTTAATATGTAAGGTTTCAGAGGCGTTTGTAAAAACGCCGTCATATCCTTTTTTTTTTTTTTGGAAATTGTACTAATTTTATTTGATTGAACTAAAAAAATATCTGTAATAACACTAATATAAAATAACAACTCCCATTCAAATAGTTGTAATGAAGCATTAATTCACTTTCTCATTCAATTAATATCCAATCACCATTACCCACAAAATTAACATATCCAAAATCCAAAACGTTAACCACAAACTAACATATATCCAAAAATCATGTCTTAACATTAACCACAAACTAACATATATACAAAAATCATGTCTTAGCATTAAAGTTGTAGTCTTCACTGGTCTACATGCCTGCATCATAACATAAACTGTAATGAGATTCACCAAAATAAACACAAATTGAAGAATTCGTACCCAATACTTATAAATAGTACTTAAAACTTGAAGAAGCACTAACAAGAAGATTTTATCACATACCAAGAAGCACTAAATACATATAAAGAAAAAATAAAAATAAAAATAAAAATGCTTTTCAAATTTGAATCCAACCAAAAATCTGGGCCAATGTTGAATGCTTATTGTTGAATGCTTATTGTTGAATACAGTTTGTAACACAAGAAAGACTAGAAACTTACAGTTTGTAGCATCATCCTCATTCATTCCCAAGAAGAGAGAAGCATCTTGAATGCTTATTGTTGAATAAGCAGCTAGCAGTAGCTGAAACATCTTTGTGGTGTAAACATCTGCAAAAAAATGATCAAAAGATAATTTTGACAACAAAAAGTGCCATAAGGTAAAACTTCTCTCAATAGAGGAAGATAACAAGAGTCATTGCCTCTTAACTAATTCAGGACCCTATACATAAACAAAAAAACAAAGTAACAAACCCCCATCTCCACTTCTAAGGTTTCCCCACACACAACAATTACATCATTTAATCGGGGAATTGAAATATATGTTGGAGTATCTTGAGGCGTTCTTACAATATTAATCATTTCATGGTTGATAACATATCTCAACATGGCATATCTCATAATATACCCATGCATCATATCTATCTATTTATGGAGAGAGAGGAAACTACGTACCCTGTTTCCTTAAAAGAAAACTCCTTCAGTTTTCTAGCCAACTCAATTTCAGTAGCTGCAGCTCTAGGTACTATACAACTGTCCCTGCACATTGCCTAGCACAAAGATGCATAAAGCCACATTCAGATTAGCTTTTTAAGGTCTAGTAGAAACTGATGCAATACTTTTTATAAAAGATGACCTACCTAAAATAAGTATCGTAGATGTGTTGGACAGAATTACCTTGTATGTATTCACACCATCATCAACTGCTCTTTCAAGGTCATCTAATATACTGACAGTAATTCCCCAAGGAAAAAGGGTTGAGGATATAATCTCTAAGTCTATCTGTTGTATGTGGGACAGCCACCACCAATGCACGGACCACAGCAACTGTAGCTTCATGTGATCCATCTTCAAGAAAAGCATCCATTTGAACACGTATTTTGTCCACGATCTAGCAAGTATAAAATTTGATCAGCCAGATTCCTTGAATCTGCTTTATTAAAATGTCAATATCAGATCAACACCAAAAAATATATACCATGTCATTTTTAAAATGCTGTGCCACAGTTCCAAATGCGTCAATGCTTGCTTATTTTACGTTCAAGTTTTGGTCAGAGCCAAGAGTGACAAGAGCAGGCACAACATGAGTGGAAGCCATTTTAGCATCAATATATGGTACCTATCATGAGAAAGATAACAGAGAGTCACACACAATAGTAGAAGAGGTTGGAGATAACTACTCCAGGTAATTGAATACACTTACAATAACTTTCAACAGATTGGTGGCACTGATTTTCATATTTATATTGGAGCACACAACCATTTCCCACAAGATATTGAAAATCATATTATGATGTGCTTCATATGTGCTGCATTATGTAAAAGTTGAAAGTCAAATAATGAAATTCAAAACTAACCATAATCTCAATAATACCAAAATGATTTCACAAAATACCAACCAGAGGAAGCGGACAGAGTTTACAATCTCAGCATGGTGCTTCATTAGATATAAACAAATTACCTTCTCTGTTAGATATTTGAAAGCCACCTTCTTCTGTCCTGCTTCATATATATTGCATTGTGAATATATCTGAAGCCAAAAAACCATAAACATTTCATAAGAAGTGGCCAACCATGTATAATATCTTTTAACACCTTAAAATTCAAACCAACAAAAAAGAAGAAAGAGGAGGCAGATGATGAAGAAAGCAGCAGCTGAAAGCATCTTTACCTGTGATTCTACACTCAGCCAAAAAGTGATGATTTCATGCTTGTCAACTTGTTCAGATACTTCTTCTTCCATAATGACGTCTGTATCCTTACAGCCTTCATTTTCATCACATGCACTCTCAGATGTGTTTGGCTGAGGGTCCCCAGAAGTTCCCAGATTGCCCACATGCATGGCATTTGTTGATTGAACACCAACTTGATCAGCCTCCTCAACAATTTCCATTTCTTCGTCACTGTCATCATCAACATGAGGTAAAGTCATTGGATGATTGAGGCTAAATTTCAGGAGATTCAAGCTTCTACGGGCATTCCACCCTGTTGAATAACCTCCATAAGGGTCAGCTTGGTTTCCATGTGCCTTCATCCGAAGTAGTTCATCCTGAGGAAAATATAAAGTTAGTAAGCTTTCATATGTTTGGACTTTGGTGTAAGTGGTAACAGATATGATTTACTTCTAAAAATGCAAAATCAAACAAAATATATATATTTATACCTTCAATTGCCATATCACTTCACGCAAGAAATTCACATCATCCTGCATTACTTCATTAACGACTGCCCTGTTCTTGATAGCCTTTGCACGCTGGGCAAATCTCAGTGTGCTTAGAGTCTCACTCTTACAGCTGCATTACTACCTCAAGTCAATCTCGCATGCTCCAGAGGAATTAAAAATTCAATACATGCTAATTTCACCTTTTCACAGGAGAAATGGCACAAAGAACTACAATGCATATTCATAATTATTGTCAAGATTTGTAGCACAAAGAACTACAAGTATGATGTAAATAAATCTTGCCAGAGAAAATCATTATATCTAGATTTTGGGCATTGCAAGGATTAATAAGCAAAGTTCTTTTTCAGCCATCTGCTAGTGGGAAGAAGTCATACATAGTGATTCTCATGGGTACTCTAGACATTATTATACTATCAAATTTGGTATTCAGGATAAAGAGTACTTTTTCATAGTTAGTATGATTTCCGATAACCTGAGAACCACTAACTCCTCCCGAGTCCTAAGCCTTTTTTCTTTTTTTTTTAAATTTCTTCAACCATATTTCTTTGTTGGTGTTATACTACCATAGCTGAGCTGAAAAATCAGCACAAGCATAACTCAAACTTCGCCTTGGGAATGACATACATCCTTAAAAACTAGCCACTTAACTGACCTTGGAATTATGTCTGGTTTCTGAATGTTGAAGCAATTAATTAAATTGAAGCTAATTTATGCATTAAAGTACACCTCTAAAAACCCTCCATCAAGAGGCCCCACATTATTTGCGTCTCGTGTAAAGGTCGAAGCAATTAATTAAATTGAAGCTAATTTATGCATTAAAGTACACCTCTAAAAACCCTCCATCAAGAGGCACCACATTATTCGCGTCTCGTGACATTGAAGTTGACTCAATCACCACAATTAATTTAAACTTAATTTAATAATGTCATCCATTGACATGGTAGCATGCAACCATGGAGAACCACTCATACAACCCTATCATGATTTTGAGCATGGAACAAATATCATCAATCAAGTCAACTAAACTGAACCCAACAAGGCAGCTGAGAATCACAAACTTACCCAGTATCGATATGCAACAACTTCTGCCGGAGTATTCTCAGGAGGCCATGATCCCAAACTGATCTGCTTGACAGCTTCAATCTGAACTGCTTCAGGGTCCTCCTTTGTACTCAATTCCAAGGCCAATTGTATTTGATATTCCTCTATATCCGGATTATCCTTCGGGTTGTTAGAACCTGAATCACACCTTGCAGCTTCCAAAACAGCATCCAATCCACCACTACTAACTGAATCAAGGGTTTCCATTCTCTCCCCTCTCATCGCATTCGAAGATGATGGGGGACTAGTGCTAGGACTAGGATTAGGATTGTTTCTATTTGTAACTGAATTCAACCATCTTGAAAGAGAAAAGGGTTTATGCTCAGAATTATGATGGGAACGAGACTGTGAAAACCTCTCAGGGTCAAGTTTTTAACCCATCATTCAATTTATTGCCCTTGGATGAAGCGGACCCTTGAGAATCTTTAGATTGGTTAGACATGATATGAAGTTTCTTTAAAAGGTTCTTCATACTATTTTCAATAACCTAAAGTATTCAATGCTAAAGGAGAAAAAAAACTAGCCATAAACCTCTCCATTGCTTGAAATTGAAATCTCAATCACAGCAACAGAAACACTAGGGACATTTAGTTCACTAAATAACATAGTTCAGAAGATAGCAAAACTTTGAATGAATAATTGGTATAGTGGTAATACAATAAATGAAAACTCAATGAATTTGTTAAATTGTCAATACTAATACTAAAAAGATCAACCAAAATGACCAAAAATCAAAATAAAGACATTGGGGCTTTTAGATGCCTTCAAATTCCTAACTCTTAAAATATTGTAGAAATAACTAAGTGAAATTGAAAATTAGGAGTTTATGGGAGCCCCTTATGATTGTTCTGTATATCATCATCTAATCCACTAGAACCAATCATGTTCTTCTTGACACCAAAGAAAAAGATACGATTATTATTTAAGTTGAATAATTTGAACTAAGACATACATGGACACCTAAACACAGGGATTATTATCCTATAAGTTCACACTAAAATTGGCTACAGGCGCAAATTATACATCGACAAATAATGATATATATATATGTAATGAATGGATGAACGAGTAAACAAAATACAAGAATGTCATCTATCAAAAGTGACGAGCGAAGAGAGCTGTACCGAATGGGTGTTCTGATTCTCTCCCTTCTCCAAAGATATCTGCATGGACAATCCAAAATGGGAAATGCAATCATTTGTACAGCTACTGCTGCCAATTCTCATTTTCACTAAAACAACCTTCTCTTGTTGGTGCTTTTTTTAGTTTTTTAAGACACTCCTCCTTCCGGTACTTTCAAAGAAAACAAATACATATAAAAAGAAGGGGAAGAAAAAAGAAAAATAGAAACATACAAATCAGGAAAATTAATAGGTCGATGCTTCAATACAAGATCAACCAATGCAAATTGATTGGTAGAGAAAATAACGTCAACAATAAACAAGACATATTCAACAAGAACAAGAACATGTTTATTGCTAACGTAATATTCTCTACTAATCAATCTGCATTGGCTCATCCTGTGTTGAAGTTTCAACCTTTTAATTTTCTCTATTTGTAGTCTGTTGCTCACAATGTTGGTTCTCAGATTATTACTGAAGAGGTTTTGGCATCATTTTCTGGACCTCCAGAACACGATGCCAAAACCTCTTCAGTAGTAACCTAAGAACCAACATTGCGAACAACATACTACAAATCAGGAAAATTAATAAGTCAATGCTTCAATACAAGATCAACCAATGCAAATTGATTGGTAGAGAATACTACGTCAGCAATAAACAAGACATATTCAACAAGAACAAGAACATGTTTATTGCTAACGTAATATTCTCTACCAATCAATCTGCATTGGCCTATGTTACATGGACTCGGCACTTTGGGGCAAAGTACCCGTGTCGACACAACACGACACGGGTGCGGGTGTGGGATCTATGTCGGATTCGCCTCTTCTCTCTCGGACACGGCTCTTTACAAACAGCGAAAAAATAAAAGAGGAGAAAGGAAGAGAGAACCTGGTCGCTGTTGGCTTCGATCATCAATCACAATTATAGCTCTCACTATTGATCACGATCGTCTTCATCTAGGGCTTCGATCATCTTCGTCACTCTCTTCCCTTACTGTCGATCTCGATCTCGATCGTCTTCGTCTCTCTTCGTCTCTGCTTCTCTCTCTTCATCTTGTCTCTGCTTCACTCACTTTTCGTCTCTGTTTTAATGATCATATATATTGATCGTATATAATATAATTTATATAATTTAACATATATAATATAATTTATAAATTATAATTTTTACCATATATAATAAAACATCTAATTATTATTTCTTAAAATATCATATATAATAATAATTTTTGTAAATTATTATTCATATTACATTTACATTAATATATAATATATAGTATAAATTACATTAATATAATAATATGTAATATTATTCATCTAAAAAAAATTATATAATACAATAGATATTATATAAATTATATAGATATTATATAATAATTATTGTATAACATATAAGATATTTATAAGATAATATATACTTATATATATTAATAAAAATAAATAAACACATATATGTAAAATAATTATTTGTTATTTATATAATATAACTCATCTTAATAACTATATTTAAAATATATATATATATTTAACGTATCCCCGTACCCGTATCCAAATTTGGATACATATCCACGTATCCTTAATTTTTAATTTTGAAGTGTCTGACCCCTAGATACGCACCCGCACCCGATCCTCGTACCCGCGTCTGTGTAACTTAGAATTTAACTAACTAATTTTTAAATAATTAAAATGATGCCTTTTTGTGAGGAAAATAAGTACATTGTTTTCCTCAACATTACAAATGTTATGCCTAGTGCAACTGGAATAATTTCACATCTGTAACTGTAACCAATTATTGTGACTTATGTGGTCTCATTCTGCAGAAAGTGTTGGCTCTGGGAAACAAGTTGCAGTTGGTACAGGACAGTTTGAAGACCTTGAATGCAGGTAATCTGTTACTGTTTGGAAGTTGAGCTGACTACATGCCATATTTTATGTACAGAGAAGTTGAGTTATGCTTTACCAGAAGATGTCATTTTGAGTGAATATGTTTTGCTGTGTGTGCATATAATAGTATTTGCCTTCCAGTTGCTTCTGATTCCTCTTTTATGTATGCTTATTGTGTTGCCCTACAGTTGCCTTTGATACCCCTTTATGCTCTACTTTGTTTGGTTTTGATTCGTGCCGTGTGATAGTAAAAGGGAAATGTTTCCATCACTACCCAAAATGTTTTAATCATTTGAAGTTTAAAATACCTTGTTTCATGATCCCACCCAGTCTGCACGGGTTGGGAGAGCAATAAATAAGGACAGATCTTAGTTCAACAAATCTGGACAGATTTTAGTTAAAAATCTGGACAGATTTTAGTTCAAAAATCTAGACATACATCGGAAAAAAAAAAAAATAAGGACAGATCTTAGTTCAACAAATCTGGACAGATTTTAGTTAAAAATCTGGAAAGATTTTAGTTCAAAAATCTAGACATACACCAGAAAAAAAAAAAATAAGGACAGATCTTAGTTCAACAAATCTGGACAGATTTTAGTTAAAAATCTGGACAGATTTTAGTTCAAAAATCTGGACATATATCACGAAAAAAAAAAAAAAAAGAGAGTTCAAGAAAAATGAAGAAGAAGATGAAGGATCAAAGAAAGAGAAAACCAAAGAGAAAAGAAGAATCAATCGTTTGCAGCGAAGAAAGAGCACAAAAATCTGAAAAAAAAAAATGAAAGAAAGAGAATAAAGAATCGAAGAAGAAAAGGGGGAAGAATCGAAGATGAACTTACCTCTTCAATCGCACCTTTGAATGAGAGAATCAATCAGCAGCACCTTCGACTAAACCGTTCAATCGCACCTTCGAAGTGTTCTTCAGACTCTCTTGGGAGTATTTCTGGAAGGAGATGATCGAATAGACATGGAACCCTAGCAAGCACCTTCGAAGTTCTTCAGCCTTGGAGTATTTTGGAATGAGATATGGAAGGAGCTGAGATCGAATGAATAAAGAACCCTAATTCTATTTGTTTTGATGTTTTATTTATGTTTTATTTATTCCAAAAGAACCCCAGATTTTTATAATTCTTTAAAATAGACATAAAAAATTGCTCCGGTACCCTTTAATTTATAAAAAATCTCGTTTTTTACCCCGGAGTACCCAAAACATACCCATGGCGTACCCGTGGCGTACCCATGGCGTACCCAGGCGTATACCAACCGTATAAAACGTACCCGGTACGTTTTTGACGTACCCGGTACGTTTTTGGCGTACCCGGTACGCGTGCAGCCGTACCGGTACGCGTACCCGCACCCGGGAAGTACCCGGTACTTGTACGGCAACATTTTTGGAGTACCCGTGCTTCATAGCAAATACCTCACAAGGCTACTTGATGTTGTTGTCTTTTGAGGAAATAAAAAGTGGGTACTAGTAGCTTAAGCTTAGCTTAGCTTAGCTGCAAAAAAAAGAAGAAAAAAAAAACACGAAATTCAAAGGGGTTAGTACACACTACAGGAAATTGGAGCTTTAACGGCATTTTTAAAACGCCGAAAAAAGATACAGCGACGTTTAATATTTTCATCGATGATACGGCCGTCGCAATAGCTTTACAACATTTGAAAAACGTCGCTTCAAATATTAGACGGCGTTTTTTTAAATGCCGCAAAATCTTTGACGCCTGTTACAACTTCCGTCACAAACTAACATATGACGTCATTTAGTGGCGTTTTTTAAAAAACGCCGCCTTTGTTTTTTGGGGGGGTGTGGGGCAAAACTAGAATACCATGAGCCACATAAATGAATAGCAATTTGGGCCCCTAAAGAATTTCTATTATTTGAATGTCATCTTCCAATCAAAGAACAAAAAACTGAAGGCTACATTTCTGTTCTCTAAATTTCATCATGTAGAAAAATAAAAAATGTCATGTTACATGTAAGAGTAGTGCGCATCAAATACACACGCATGTATGAAGCACCTTTTCCAATAATCTGCAGAGAGAGAGAGAGTGGACAAAGGCAATATAGTTATGTGCTTGGCAGGGCTCCCTCTTATTAGCCATCAATAGAGATGCAACTACATCAACCTGTCATTGTAATATGAGACCCAAACATAAGTTTTCCATCCCATCCCATCCCCCAGCTTTCAATCTTTTCCCAAGCAACTCAAAAACTCCTTAAGACAATGCTCCATGTGCAGTGATACAACCTCTGGACAAACCCAGGCAACTCGACCAAGCATTATAGCGCTATTTTCTATAAGTGACTTATTGAGCTCCTGCTCAGCATCAAGAAATGTAATTAATTAGAGATAACCGTCCGAAACATACACCCATGCCCACAAGTGTGTGCATGCATACACATCCATGACTGGAAAACAGCAAAGAAACAATCACCTCAGCATGTTGAAGAATCGGGATCAAGCAAGAAATGACTGTCATCACTATTGGAGAAATTTCTTGACGAAGCTAAAATTATTAGTTTACAAAATGTCAAAATACTTCTAGTCTATGAAAGGGCATTGTTGATAAATTTGTGCACCCCATTTACTATTGATTCAAAAAGGAAACCAACAAGAAACACATGCCCCAAAATAATAAACATAGACATGAAAGAAATGAGATGATTAGCAATCAAATGAAGCCCCAACACAACTCATGTTAGCATGCAAAATACATAGACTGAACATGGTCACTGCACTATTTTTTTCCTTTTTTCAGTAGACCTCCCCAACCCAGCTTAAGGCATTATTCAAACTAGGTCTTTAGTACAACTGCCAAGAGACTTTACCATAATTTAACATTTTGAAATTTATTTGGTTCGGAAAATTGACTCCACAAGATATATGGACATAGGAAAAGGGGAAGAAATAAAAATAATATTTGAAAAAAAAAAAGGGAGGCATCAAAATGGGTGTCAAATGTAAGTAGACAGCAGATAGATTTTAAAAAGAATAAACATACACACATAAATAAATAAGCTCTCTGATCATCAAATTTTACTTGTGCAATTCACTAGATTTTTTGGCAAAGAATACTGTCATTCCTGCAAACAATTTGTGAACCACATAACATTTCCAAGCATCAAAGACTGTAATAAGAGTATCAGAAGTGAAATGCATATGTACCTTTATTGTCTGGATAAGACAACTTTCACCATGTCAAGAAGCTACTTAAAGCAAATTAATTGCCATTCTAAAAATGAACTATAAAGTTGGCAGAACTTTCAGAGGTATGGCATGTGGAGAAGGATCATGTCCAGGCACACAGATTTACATCCCACTCAGTTTTAGGACATGTAGCACGTACAAAGTAACTGGACCTTGCCTTTTTTTTCAATTAAGTTGCACCTGCTAAATAACAGGATCATTCTTCATGTTACATATTTTTTATATATTCAAGCGCAAAATCAAGAAGATCAACATGCCCACATAAACAATGAAGACAAACATCTTTGACATCTCTTGTTTTAGGGTCATGAATTAATAATTTTCCTCATTTTAAAACAAAATGAACATTAATTATGTTTTTCCAGTCAATACACAAAATGATATGAAGCATAAAGATCAAATCAGAAATCAGAATTATGCCAAAAAAATTGACAACCGTGCAAAATTGGAAGTCATAAAAAGAACCCACACTTCAATGTGAGTCACAATTGTTTTAAGCCAGAATTAACTAGTTCAAGAACAGAGAATGGTGCATGAAAATGCAATATTATCTAGATTCATTCTGATGCAATAAACTACCTTAACCGCTAATTCTCCAATTGCCAACATGCATTGTTCGCCACAAAAATAGTTTCCTTCAGCTTAGGGATGCTCTGTAGAAAGCTAGTATAAGTAAATCTATGAAATAACAAGACTATCAGAAAGGGTCTCAGAAATCAAAAATCCATTCTATTTGCGGACAAACGCGGGTGCTAATGAATAGGACAAACGTAATGAAATACAACGAAGGCCATTAGTATTCATTGTCAATAGAAAGCATTATAAATATGTATATAAACAAGAAAAAATAAAATAAAAAATTGAGCCCGAGCTTCCAGAGGCACCAACTGGCCCTACGGCCCAATCATATCTAGTAGCCCACAAGTCTCAAATTGCAACCCCCAAAACAAGGACTCCTGAGCTAATGATAGAAGCAACAATGCTTTCCTATTGTTAGACCAAGAGAAAGTCATACAGTATTTTATATACACACTTTTGACTTACTCTTGCAAGGTCACCAAGCAATGCAAAGGCACTTTGTCGAACATCAGGAGCATCATACATGCAACATTGAAGAAGCAACATCATCTAATGCATACCTGGTGCAAACAAAAAAATGGAGAAAGCAGTTAAGAGACATAGCTCGAAGAAGAAAATTCTGCAGGTGAGGAAATAAGTAAAGTTCAACTTTGAGTGAGTATTTTTAACGCCGACGGATCCTCTTGCAGAGGATTTATGGACTATTACAACAAAACATAAATAATAAACTGAATTTAATTTTTATTTTTAGAATTAATTACAACTTCAAAGCGGTATTTCTTCCCTTGACGTTAAACCAAAATCAAGTAAAATTAGAGTATCTTCACAAAAGAAACCAAGATACCATGCAACAAATACCATAAATTATCAGGAAGTGGAACCAAAACCATAAGGACAATAATATGCAAGAAGTCACAACATCCTTGGACAAAATAAAAAGTCACAAGTCAACTGAATTGATGAAACAGAAACCAGTAAGAAAAAGAACAATTTGCAACCCAGGCATCACATCTTTATAGTTATATTTTTTTTTACTAACTAAACAGAGATACGAGAGAAGAAAACAAATGAAGCTTCAGGTGCATTTTGTGCTAATGCCAAATACTAATGCACCAAAAGAAGGCTTCAAAATAATTTGGAAAGCATATAACATGCAGTGGAATTCAAAAGAAAAACTACAAGATAAATGTTAAATAAGATCTGGAAGAAGGTAATGAAGATAGAAGTGGAGCTGAATGAAAGGAAAGTATATCTAATATTCAAATAAATAATACTACAAAGGAGGAATAGCCAAGAAGAAAGTGACACAGGATCTGCCACATTCTGGTTTTAAGAAACTTACATTCAAATTCTTCCTCACTTTCATCATCTCTCAGCTTCCCATTCAGTAGATACAGCGTCAGAATCTGCTGCATTGATGAAATTGTAATTAACGATCTGAAATACAGATCGGAAATAAGAACTTGCTATTCAAATAATCAACACTGTTTAGTCAAAAAGACTAAACAATGGACATTTGTAACATAAAATTTTGAAATGTGTTGAAACACCTCATGTTTTAAAATTTGTGTCTACACACGCCAACATGGATATTTTCATAAAATGCAAGACATGAGACCAAATACCTTAGTAGCTCACATGGAGTCTCTTGCCACCAACTTGGCTGGATCATGATCGTTCTGGAATACAACCAAGGTAAGTTACTAAAAATTCTTAGCCAAAATAACTATAAGCAAAGTGAAACCAAATACTCATCAAGAACGTAAAGCAACTAAAGAACAAGAAATTGGTTAGTATCGTTGTCAACCAATGAACTTGAAAGAGCACATCCTATCCATTAAGAATGCCATTTTTAAGTACCAAATGAAATCCAACAAGAAATAGATTCATATCAAATAGTGTTACAAAGATCTAGCTACACAATCAAAAAAAGTGTTCATCTCTAGTAGATATCGCGCCCGTCTCTAATAACCCAAAACCTGACCACATCTTATTTACCTCCTGCACACATTAAACTAACATTTATATCTCAAGATTGTTGACGCAGATTTAATCAATCAATCAACCAAACAGAGGAAGAAACAGGACAGCCAAAGGCCTCATTTTAAAAGACAACAGATCCAAAGATCAAAAATCTGAAGAGGCCATGTCACAAACAGGTCTGGTAACCCATTTTTGGGCCCCACAGAAATGGATGACCCAGATCTATTCAACACTTCCAAGAGCTAAGTACAAACAAAACAAGTCCAAAATCCCAAAATCCCTCTCTGAGACCTAGCCACAAACAAGTCCAGTGCATAACTAGGCACTTGTCAAAACCGCAGCAACACAAGAACTATGATGCTTGGATCATGAAGCAAACACAGACCCACTTATCCGGAGCCTGATGCCTACAACCAACATCACATTATAGTTAAAAAAAAATTAAAAAAAAATTCAAGGATTCTAATGTTCTTCCTTCAAGACAAAAAGGAATAACATAGTCTAATTACCTATGTTCATTAGAAATACATAAAATTATGTTCTACCAATATACAAACATAGATTGAAAAAATTGAAAATAATGAGATTGAAAAACAGAAAGATCAAAAGTGAATGAGATTCTATTGCAAAGAAAGCAGACCAAAAATAGCAAGTGAAAAGATTAAAAAGAGTACAATTCGACTGAAGAGAGGCCAGGTCGAAGAGCGAGTAAGATAGTAAATCATGTGCTTGAGACCAGATCTGATGGAGCAATAGAGAGAGAGAGAGAGAGGACGAGACCAGAGGGGCGGTAGCGACGGAAGGACTAACCTTAGGAGGAGCTTCAACAGGTAGGGCGCATCCAACGCCATTGCGCTCGAAACCCTAGATAGAATCCCTTCGCTACCGTAACAACTCGATTACCAGAAACCCAGTATTCATGATCTTGGCTCCTCCTCTTGCTTCGACTCGACCAGTCTCGGTCCCGATCCATGATCTCGATCCTTTTTCAGTCCTCGGTCTCGAAACCTCGGGTTCGTGCAACTCAGCTGGTCCATCTTCCTCTGCAAAATTATCAGAATCAGAACCAAGAAAAAAAAAAGGTAAAGAAATTTCAACCAAATCGACAAGCCCTGTTTTTGTTGGTAATGCTTATACCGGTGATTTGGTGCTAATTCCGAGTAGCTTGAAGAACCAGTATAGCCTAATTCATCGTCATTTGAAGAATATAGCTTTGAAGATAGACAGAGAAAAACCCTCGATCTAGGACGGAGAGAGAAAACGACAGAGAGAGAATGATAGAGACGGAAAAGAGAAATGGAGACGGTGCACCGACATAAAGTGAAATGCGTGCTTATAAGAGGATAACGCGTGTTTTTAATTTTACTTTGCGCCTTTTACAGCGTTTGTCAAAAAAATGTTGTTTGTCTAAAAAAACATGGTTACAGGTAATTTTTGTTGTAATGACAGTGAGAGACAGAGAGAGTGAGACGGAGAGTGGGATTGAGCGAGAGGGAGAGGGGCCTTTCCCCTAATTAAGGGTTGGTTTGGGGTGCTTTAAAAAAGTGTATTTTTTGTCTTTTTATAAAAAGATGTGTAAAAAAGTAGAGAGGTGATGTGATGAAAAAAAAATAAAAAGATGGATTATATAGTTCATGCCAAACCAACCCTAAGCTCAAATATCAAGTTATTTGTATATTAAGATTTAGGGTTAGTTTGGCATAGATTATATAATTTATCTTTTTATTTTATTTTATTTTTTTATTATATCATCTCTCTATTTTTTTGTATATTTTTTTATAAAAAGTCAAAAAATATACTTTTTTATGACACCCCAAACCAATCCTGATGTGTCATTAAATATGATAAAAATTCAATAGAACCTACCGTTATGTAGGCTATAACTAATATAGAAATCTTTTTCAAAATAACTTTAGGGCCTCAATTATATAAGCTTAATAATGACCATGAACATAGTGCAGTAACATGTAGATAGTTTTCTTACATAAATATTTGCCAAAAAATTGAATGAGAAATTTTTTTTCCAATAATATGTTGATGATTACATTTATGGCATATTTGACAAAACTTAATTATTGATTTTGTAATGCTAAAAGTTTGAATAAAAAGGACCAAAATTTAAATTACATAAATTTATTCTTTAATTGTAAATGTGAAAAATGCTTGCCGCATTCGAAAATATTAAATTTATTCATAAATATTTAATTTTCAAATGGTAGAAGAATTATTTGATTAAGTATAAATTTTGTAATACACATTTAATTACCAAAAACACAATAGAAACAATAAGAACTACAACTAAATTTTTTTGCATACATATTTAGTTTAATTAATTTGCTTAGTATGTTAGTTGTAAAAAAAAATTTAATATAAAACAATCACAATATATAAAGAATTAAGAAATTAAAAATGATCTATTACAAATAAAAAATGATCTATTACAATTTCACATGGCCTGTCCAATTACAATGTCACAATTAGAAAGCGCAACCATTTTACAATTTCACAATTCACGAAACTCATATACGCATTACATAGTCTTCATCGACCAAGCCGCGCCGGACATGTTCGCCTAACATGACCTGTCTGCTGACACTCACTGCAACGAGCGGTCAAACGCCTATCTGACATATCCATCTCATTCGGAATACGGGACATAGATTTAGCACCCCGTTTTACTTCTCGCAGACAAAATACATTAGGCATTAAGGTCTACTGTGGATCATCCCAATAATCTTGATGCGGTATTGGATTGAACTTAGTTTCCCAAACCTTCATGTATATAGGAAACCTATATACTGGATCAACGTACTCGAATGGATTGTCACCGCATTCAGACATAACAACGAGCATATGGGAACATGGATAGTGTCTTATCTCGTATTTCCCACAACTGCACGTGAGTTGATTCATGCGCACAATCTCTGTGTTGTGACCTTGTCCATGGCGAAAAGATGTTTGTACCTCAAATACGCGACAGGGCCTATCATACAATATGGATACAAATTAATCAAGTTCATGTTTTTAGGTACAATTAACTTCACAACATAATAAAAATAATTTAAAATGCATTACAAACTAACATGTCGTACGATATCAACTAGAAAGTATTTCCCCTTGCAATGCCCTCCTCGATAGTTTTTTGCATCTCTCTAGAGTGTTGGATGTAACGCCCCCAAAATAATACAATAAAGATAACTCATATGCGGAATTAATATGAGAAATAACATACTTTCATACATCAGAGTTTACTGTTTAACAAACAAGTAAATGCCATAAAGGCTTACATCTTTCCAAGTCATTGCTTGGTTACACAAATTGAGTCTCGCTCATTACATCTTAAGCCCTTGGCTTTACAAATACCAACAAACACACACACAACAAATACATAATTAAGAAACTCTTGCTTCCCAAAAGTCCATCCACACTATTGCCTTAGAGGAAACATCTCATCTACACCTGAAAAATGGTATTTCCTTATAAGGTGAGCCAACAGCCCAGTAGAAATGATCTAACACAATTTATGAAGTTTAGCAAAGGTATAAATACCACGTATATAAACAATACCGATATGGAAGTATCCACAAGGCCTACATATCCATATGTCACTGAGACCATTCTTATTCCATGTTCCGTCAATTTATTTCCAGTTCATATACACTACTCAATTCATGAGTTAAATTCATTATCTTTTAACAACCACAATGAGACTACAACTCAATGGTTCCCCAATTATGCAAAACACACACATAAACACTTCAAACTTGTCATTTTATGGATATTTCGTCCGAGGGAACTGGCACCCATTTATAATAGATTTCGGGTCTTTCACCCAGGACACTCTGGCCAGCTTGCTTTAAATGGAATCCATCCATTTTTTCCTCCCCAACAAATATACATATGCAATGTATTAATAAGCATAATCATATATGGAGTACATCCCATTTCTCCTCCCAATAAACATACATATACAATGTATTTATAACATGGTCATGTTATGGAGTACATCCCTTTTCTCCTTCCAATAAATATACATATACAATGTATTTACAACATGGTCATGTTTCAATGACACCAACCATAGGTTAGCATTAAATTGCCTAATCCTCATACAATTTTTACAACAATCATAGCTATCCTCCACCGATAGTCCAATACAATTATTTCCAAGATATATTCAATATCGGGTTTAATTGTTTATTCAAAACTTCCATATGTGAGATAATGCATATCTACTATCACCATTTATATCAATAATCATCCAATTTAACATATTCAATGTTAGTTCCAATTATTTATACAAAATAATCATTTTATCAAATTAGGGCAAAATCTCCCTTTTTCCAATATTAACCCAAATATCCAAAATCAACTATTTTGGTACACCAAGAGTTTATATTCAAACCCCATACTCATTTATCTCTGATACATCAAAAACTCTTCTTTTTATATAACACCCAAATTCTAGATTTGTCCAAACCACAACCAAATCTCATCATTTGTGTACAATAGCAAATAACTAAGCTAAAAACCATACTGGAGTGTAGAAAATCCCTACCCCAAGTGTAGAAGACGAACAAGCAAGACCAAAACTCCAAAGATGACAAAATCAACTCTTACTTGGATCAACACGAAGCTCTTGAAGCCCACTACCTTATTCTCCAAGACACTAGGGTCAATAACACAATGAATGTAGATGAAACCTTAGAGAGAAGGGGACTTCTAGAGAGAGAGACTGTAGATTTAGGGTTTGTGGGTGAAAATAAGATGTCCTTTACTGAAGATGTCCTTTACTGCAGATTTAGAGAGAGAGAAGGTGAAGTTAAATGGGAAGGTGAAGTTAAATGTCCTTTACTGAAGCAGACCTAAACATGATGCAGCATCTACACAACGATGCTCTAGTAGTGACCCTCGGTAATGCCAGGTAAGGCACATTCTAATCGACTAAGGCAGCTCTTGTGACATCATGTATGTCAAATGTTACAAAGAGTTTAGCCTTTACCGAGATGATTTGGAGTAGTCCGACAGCCCAATGGTTGGGTTCAATGGAACGCTGACATGGCTCTTGGGAGCAATAAATCTGGAGCTGTAGACAGGCACCAGGAAGATAAGCATAGAGTTTACAGTAATCGACATCCCCTCCCCATACAATGTTATCTTAGGAAGGCCATGGTTGCACGTAATGAGGGATGTTCCCTCAACGCTGCACCAACTGTTGCGGTTCCCAACGGAGCATGGAATTGATGAGGTTAAAGTGGATCAGGTGCAGGCAAAGAATTGCTCTATAGCAGCAATGAAATCTATCTGCAACGTGTGAGAGGCAAAAACAGTAGAAATCGAGGATGAGGACATGGAAGTCCTAGATGATGTCGGCAAAGAACCGACCGAGAAGAGCGAGAAAGCCTTGAAAAAAAATCTGGTCCAACAATGGGATGAAGAGCGCTTCTTCCTTCTCGGCTCAGGCTTGGCCGAGAAGGAGGAAAGGGAGTTAGAAGCGTTCTTGCGAGCAAACATATAAGTGTTTGCCTAGACGCCATACGAAATGCCTGACATTGACCCCGAGGTCACTTGCCATATGAAGTTTCTGCTGGTAGCAACTGATTACTTCACGAAGGGATAGAAGCTGAGCAAGTTTGGGATCCCAAGGGCAATAATAGCAGATAATGGTACACAGTTTGATAGTAAGCTAATCAAAAGTTTTTGTGCAAAGTACAAAATCAAGAACTACTACTCCACTCCAAGTTTCCCTCAAAGCAATGGTCAGGCAGAAACAATTCAATAAGACTATCTTGGATGGGATCAAGAGGAGGCTAGAAGTAACAAAAGGGAAGTGGGTGGAAGAGTTGCCCAATGTGCTCTGGGCATATCGGACTACGCTAAGAAGATCAACTGGGGAGTCTCCTTTTGCCATGGCTTATGGCACTGAAGTAGTTATCCCACTAGAAGTTGACATCCCTAGAATCAGAACCGAGGGAGTGGAAGATGGGAGCAATGAGGCATTCATGGCCCGAGATTTGGACCTGCTGGAGGAGAGAAGAGAGAGCAACAATTCGGCTGGGGGCATACTAGCAACAACTTGCTAGGGCTTACAACAAAAAGGTCAACCCAAGAGAGTTCAAGGTTGGAGACCTCATCTTGAGAAAAGTCGTCGGCAACAAGAAGGATCCTAGGGAGGGCAAGCTTGGCCCAAACTGGGAAGGGCCTTATAGAATTATCTCGGTTGCCGGCAATGGGGCATATCGGCTTGAAGACAGTGATGGCAAAGAGTTGCCAAGACCTTGGAACACTTGCGACTTGA